CGTGTTTTCCAGCGGCAGCCACGTGAGATTCAGCCACTTTAACCACCATGCCTGTTGGCCTGCACTTTCTTCATGGTACAGTTTTGATGATTTGGGTTTTTTTTTAGGTTTGCGCCGTAGGATACATAAATTCACCAAAGGGAGACAGAGAGGGAAAGTGAGAAATCACCCCCAGTGGGATGGATGGCCACGCCACGCCACGCTGCAATCCCTTCTCCTCCGTTCTCGTCTCAGGGTCTTGGGCACCCACGCACATATGCACCTGGCGCCATCCTCAAGCCACAGGACCCAGGACTCCAACCGGTGCCCACGTGGGAGTCCAGCGCCTTAACCCGCATGCCACCTTCTGGCTAAGGAATGTTTTGAGGACCCCACAGCGAACAAAGTGGGTTCTAAGGCTAGGCGCATTTTGCACAGGGAGACTAAGGGTGCTGCGGAAGACGGGGCAATCAGCCCCGGGATTGTTAAAGCTCCTAACCCCTGTTCTGGGGGGCAGAGCTACAGCTCCTGCTTACGGGGTGTCCGGGCAGCAGCCCGCCTGATCGCTCCCTGCCTGCATGGCCCCTTGGGCTGCAGGGCAGGAAGCACCTGGTCTGGAGCGGATGCACAGGGCGCCTGGTTCCGGTCCGGCTTCCGCTACTGAGGCCCCGGGAGAGCCAGGCCAAAGAAACCAGGCGGCGGGGCGAGGACACGTGGGAGCTGGGCGGCTGCAAAGCCGGCCTGTGCACGCGCCCGAGGCCTGGAGCGCGCCGCCGACTGAGGGAGCTGGGGGCATGGCATTAGCCCCGCGGGCACGAGTGCATGGCTGCCGCCGCGTGGCCGCCTCGGGAATCGCAGGCGTCAGCTCTCGGGTGGCTGAGTGCCCCTTGGGGCCCAAGAGCAGCCTGCGGTGTAGACGGTCAGCTCTTAGTCCCCACAGAGCATCCCAGCCAGGCAGGGACAAACAGACCCCGCCCTCCAGATGCACAGACCCCAGGCACACAGGGACAGACCGCAGGCAGCGTCCCCACTCAGACAAATGACAATCGAGTCATGTGACATGTCTTTATTTGCTTCAGTCGACACCCGGTCCAGTGGCCGCCCCAGGTCCAGGGGGGTTCTGGTCGAGGGTCTCTGGACAGTCGGAGGGGCTAGCGTCGGCACCGGCCTCAGGGTTCTGGAAGCTGTGGTCATAGCAGCACTGGTCCCCCCGTTGACAAGTGCCCTGGAGGGAAGATGGTGGATGGGAACCCCCGTTGGGACCTCATGGGCCCTGACTGCCCTGTTGTCCCAAGGGACCGTGTATCCTACAGTGACAGAGAGGAGGTACCTTTTTTTTTTTTTGGAGAGGTTTTTACTATAGGGCGAGTGCGCTCACCAGAGAGAGAGACAGAGTTTAAGCCACCAGGTCTGGGACTCAAACCGAAGCTGACTACATGGGAGTCCAGCGGCATAGCCATTACACCAACTGCTGGTCCCATTACTCTTTTTTTTTTGTTTATAGAGAGATTTTTGCCAGAGAGACAGAAAGTGAAACATTACCCCACCCACCCATCCAGGGGGAGATGGCAGTCACAATCTCTTCTCCTCTAGAGATTTTGAACACACACACGGTGTGAGATTTAAACTGCCGGGTCCGAGATTTGAACTGTAGCTGACTATGTGGGAGTCCAGTGACTGCTCTTGAGAGGAAATACCTTTTTTTTTTTTTAAGTAAATTTCTTTTCTTTTAAAAAAGATTTACTTTATTTATTTTTTTAATTTTACCAGAATGGATGAGAGTGAGAGAGAGGAAGCCGCCAGGTCTGGGACTCAAACCATGGTCGGTCATGTGGGAGCCCAGTCAATGCCCCTTAACCACCATACCACCTACCACCCCCCCCTTTTTTTAATAACTATTTTATTTTATCTT